AATATATTTCTCTATATGGTACCTAATAAATGGTTAAATCATGCTACGACATATCACCGATAGGTGGCTAGACAATGAAAGCTCCTATACTTCACTCCTTACGATTCTGTACTTAACACAATGATAAAGCATGAATGGTGATACCACCACAATTAAACAACAATTCATGTCTTCCACTCTGTCTATAGGTACCCATCATGAAAAGACAGTGAAAGTGTCAAGGTCAGGATCCGTTCCTAAAGGACAGATGAGCTCGCTGATGGTCGTAACATTTAGTCGGTGTATAATCAAAGCACGTTTGTGGCCATAACAATGGAATTATTGGTCATCAAAAATGTTTATTACAAATTCACGGTTTATAGGTGTTTTAGATTGTCCATCTGTTTGTAGGCAGTAATTGCTGACCAGATCAAATGGAAATTTTTATTGCTGTGTATTCATCTATCAAATTTGTCAAATTAAGAAAAAAATCCATTATCGTTTACTGGTCATGACACGTCTGTTACAGAGCGAAGGGAAATCATGAGGACTTGCTCTAACACGGAAGAAATGATCATGTTTTGTAGCCCTTACTAGGAGTGGGCGTGGTCCGACAATGGAGTAATCAGTCCCGAGTCCTGGCCTTTCTGACCCTTTCTATGGCCGCAGTACAAAGAGTCTGAGGCCTGTACAAAAGGGGGACCATGAGGATAAAAGAAATAATTACAAACGTAAAATGGACAACACATCCACTACCATGCTAGATTGGGCAAAGCCATATACGACCCCTGTAGTACTAAATCTAATATCATGATTTGGTTTCATCGGCCTTGTCTTTAATTGAGAAAGAGTAATTGGGATAGTCACTCGATATCAAATTTAGAACTGTATTGAAATTATTCACAATATAGTGGCCAGAGGGTATGTTTCCTGATAATTGGAAAGAGCATGAATAAACTTCACAATTTCCAAAATGAACTTTTAAGAAACCTGATTTTTTTGAGATTATGATTCACTGTCATCCATCATACATGAATTCAACAGTCTGTCATACTTGAGAGATAATCCTCACACTGTTAACAATCAACAGAGGAAACAATTCAGAACCAAATTTACATAGTAAAAGTACACAAACAGTTATAGACTTTGTCTTTACTTTAAAACACTCTATCTGTGGCCTTCTTGATGGTTCTTTAAATCAATATTGCTTTGTCGTATGACCATTTTCACTGATGTAGAACATTCCTGGAGTGCCTTGTATTGTATCTCCAACAAAGAAGAGTTCAGATTTTTTTCATGAGTCTTTTCCTTGGGAGTTTCTGGCCTTTTTACTACAGCAAAGACTTATAGACAAAAAGAAATATATTCATCATAATTTTCACTACACAAAAACATCTGAGCCACCAAGTTTCGAACCCTGGACCTCAGCTCCATTATATAACAGAGACCTTATCCATTGCACTATGGTCAAGATATATATTTTTCATTCATACTTTTAAGCAATGTGACAAAACAATTTTAAAATATTCAGGTTTCCTAAAAAGTCTCAGAACTCATTAATGTATTTGTAGGAATATAAAGGAAATAACAATGATTGAACAGGAAAAATAACCTTTAATGTATGTATACAGTAGAAAAGTTGTTGGATTTGTCATCATCACACTATGTGGCAATTTGTTTATATATAAAACTGCCACCTTATATATATGTACTTACTGGAATCTGTCATTTTTTCTACATGCAAGAGCCCGACACACCCAAGTGATGGGAAAGGCTGCTTGTAACTAGAGTACTGTTTGGAGATCAAAGCCACGACACATGAAACATCATGACTGCTGGTTTCTGTTATATGTGTGCAGATTTCTAAAGAAGTCTGTGAATCGGCTCCACTGATGACTGGTCCTGTTACCAATCAAATTAGCAGGAAAAAAAGTAAGTAAAACCAAGTGAAGACAGCAGCAAAAGATTTTAAAATGAAAATTTATCAAGATCTGTCTACAGCTAGCAAACAAATTGAATTTACTGCATCCTGACAGACTTGATGAACTTAAATCAGTTAGTGATGTGCCGGTTGATCCAATAGAACTTCTTCATCACCACAAGCTTGAATAAAATTTCAAAAAACACAAATCTACACTAAACGACTGGAGTTTTACCATTACTGTGTACGATAAAACAATTTCAGGTTTCTAAACTTTTTAGCACAGCTTAACATGCCATTTAGCATGGAAGTCCCTACCTTTATGCTTGAATAATAACATAGAAAAGCGATGTATATGTACTGTTTTGAATTTGAACAAGAGGCTTAATGGGAATGTAATGCTCACCTTCTATACATTATACATAATGTGAACAATTTTCTAATCGTCTTTAATAAATAAGTACCAAAATTTTGTCAGAATCTTTCACAAGGAAAAGTGAAATAAAGTCACTTTGATAAAGTTGTCAAAACTAGGTTAGGTAGCTTGAAATGCACTTTATGGTTAATTTTGAATACAACCAATGGAAACAATTCTAAGATTTGGAAATCACCTGTACTAGTAAATAGCTGGAAATCACCTGTACTAGTAAATAGCTAATTCAGGAACATGTGATGCTTGCTGAACATGCTTGTTTCATGTTGGCACCAGAAAAATCTGATTTCAATTGTACAAGATGAAGGAAACAACAGGTGGACTGGAGGATGATTAGACAGATGTATGTGCAAAGAGCACAAGATGGAAAATAATGGAAAAATAGGTGAAGAGCACCTTGCTAAAGTGAAAAGGTGCATGAAACATTTTACATTCAAAACAGGTTTATGTGCACAAAAGATAATTTTTTAATCAAACAACAGCCAGTGTCGTTATAGGAAGACAGAATTTATGGAAAAAATTCGGAGAAACTTGTCCATATCATAATGATAAAGGACAAAAATCCTATACATATTAGCTAGATATAAGACATGAAATTATTATGGTACAATTTGTCTTCCCAAGATACATAAGAATTAAATTTGATGAATTAAGGGGTGAAATAGCAAGCATAATATGCTCTGAACAAATAGACAAAGGGCTATAACTCTCTATAAAATGAGACGCAAGACCCCATTCCAGTATGCGACACTTCATCTTCCCAAAATGCATAAGTATGAAACACTCTGCCTTCCCAAGATACACAAGTACGCAACAGGTGAATATAAATGAAATATCAAGAAACTTATGCTCTTGAAAAAGCATGGTATCAAAAATTAACAAAGGGTCATATTAAGCTGGTTATATTTCTAAAACTCTTAAGTATATTAGGGTTGGTGAATGTAGGTGAATTAGGGTTGGTGAATGTAGGTGAAACAACAAGGAAGTTATGCTTTGGGCATATTAAACCTATTTCAGTATGCAACACTCCTTCTTTTTAAGGAGTACTTACATACAAAATTTGGCAATTGTAGGTGACACTGTATATGGAATATTATGTGCTGGACAGTGTGAATCATAGTGAACCAAGGGCCATAACTCTGTAAAGCAGGACACGAGACAAGATCAAAGTATGCCACACTCCGCCATATCACATGAGGTACTTAAGATATGGTAATAGTGAACATAGGGGTTAAGAGTAATTATGAGATATGGCCTAACAAAGTGACACATGGGTTGTGAATAAATAACAATGTCGGATTGTCGGTATACTAGATACATGTAAAATGTAAAAATAATGCATGTCTCGTAAAAATAATTCCAACAACACTGTGTTCAGCTTTGTCTTTGTATAATTAAGATACAAACCAGTATGTGACACTTATGCGACACTTCATCTTCCCAAAATGCATAAGTATGAAACACTCTGCCTTCCCAAGATACACAAGTACGCAACAGGTGAATATAAATGAAATATCAAGAAACTTATGCTTTTGAAAAAGCATGGTATCAAAAATTAACAAAGGGTCATATTAAGCTGGTTATATTTCTAAAACTCTTAAGTATATTAGGGTTGGTGAATGTAGGTGAAATAACAAGGAAGTTATGCTTTGGGCGAATTTGGTGACACCCAGTCAGCCAGATAATGGCACACCATATAATGCTGACAAAGACAGGCACGCAACAATGTAAAGTTATAGTTTACTGTATGGAGTCGGGTAAAAACCTTTTTCATTATACAACACTCCATCTTTTTAAGAGATACCTACATACAAAATTTGGCAGTTGTAAGTGACATATAGATATATTATGCACTTGACAGTGTGACACTTAGTGAACAAGGGGCCATAACTCTTTACATAGTCAGATAAAAAAAACTATTTCAGTATGCAACACTCCTTCTTTTTAAAGAGTACTTACATACAAATTTTGGCAATTGTAGGTGACAATGTATATGGAATATTATGTGCTGGACAGTGTGAATCATAGTGAACCAAGGGCCATAACTCTGTGTAAAGCAGGACACGAGACAAGATCAAAGTATGCCACACTCCGCCATATCACATGAGGTACTTAAGATATGGTTATAGTGAACATAGGGGTTAAGAGTAATTATAAGATATGGCCTAACAAAGTGACATATGGGTTGTGAATAAATAACAATGTCTGTAAAAATAATGCATGTCTCGTAAAAATAATTCCAACAACACTGTGTTCAGCTTTGTCTTTGTATAATTAAGATACAAATCATATTTCAAGCATTTAATGTCTAGACTTGTATCTACAGTACACATCTTCCTATATCATAATCTCTTAGTAAGACAAAAAGCTTGATGAAAGGTTTAGATATTCCTTTATAATGCAGCAATTTCAATTCTACAGTCTTCAAATTAAACGCAATTAATATTTGGCATTCTTCATTTAATTGAGTCAGCAAAATAAGGCTGCACCTCTACTCTAGATCTGCATATCCCATGCCAACACAAGATCGGTGATCAGTCTATTACGATTCTCACAAAGAATTTGGCACAAAATGCAAACAACTCGTGCAATAATGTGCAATCAAGCCAAATTCATTGACCATGCACCTTTTGCATACCGTACATTGTGATAAGGTTTTAAACTCACCAGTCAGTTGCTGTCAAACTTAGAAAAGTCGGCCTCACTTGATTCCTTGCCATGTCCTTACAGAAACGTTACAAGGCTTAACATATCAGTTCCACCTTTAAAATCAAACACAACACTTTGTTATTATTTCAGCTTGTATTGACCAGCCTGATCTGTATAATCATAGATTATAAAGGAAAATCGCATAATGCTATTTCCTTGTAGGTCAACATCCATAACGCTTAAGTAAGCTTAAGAATGTAGAAGTACGGGAAGGATTGGAGAACTGATTTGTGAATGAAGTCTGACAGAAACACTTTGTAGAAGTTAACATAACTTGTCCATAATAACATTACATTATTGGTATAATATAGCTTTGTAAGTGTTTTAAACTCGAGTGTTACACCAAGCTGTGACAAAGTATGTAAACATGGCACTTACAATACGTTCAAGAAGAACAATTTACTTTTATGTCAATGACTGTATGCATAATTCTAAGGAAAGGAGGCAATATTTTCATAAAGGGTCTTCTAACCCAGTTATTTGCTGCTTTTTAATAGGACAGAACTATTGACTTTTTCCTCCTGAGCGAATGTACACAAAAGTGGCAAATGTCAGAAGACACATTTGAAATTACAATATTCTTGTAAACCTATCATCAATAAATTTAATAGGACAGTATTTATTTTAATGTTACTAAGAGTTACACGCAGAGATTGGAAAGGTGATGAAATAGCCGATTGTCATTTGTTCAAGGATAATTAGAGGTCATAACTCTGGTGTCAGAAGATATTGAAATGATTGTAATATTTGTTGATGTTCCTGGAGCTATTGCTGAGATAAGGTGAGAAGATTAGATGATTCCTGGGGAGGTGAAGAGCTATAATAGGGGAGATAAGTATTTGTCCCAGCGTCAAACATTGGGCGTGTAATTATAATGGGACCATTGTCACCACACACACAGACTAATGTGTGTGGTAATGGGTGACACCAACCTATATCTCACAAAGATCATACCATTGATAACAATGTTGTCCCATTTACTGAAGTATTATGTAGTGTCATGTAAGTCGTTTTGGTACATGTACTACATAGTTAATTTATCTCACACATCATTTGGTTAAGGGCAAAGTATAATGGTTCTCATGTAGATTACATCATTGATAAAAAGCATTCCATATTGAAATATACATCCCAAATATTGAAGTATACATCCCAAATACTGAAGTATATATCCTAAATACTGAAGTACACATCCCAAATACTGAAATATACATCCCAAATACTGAAGTACACATCCCAAATACTGAAGTACACCTCCCAAATACAGAAGTACACCTCCCAAATACTGAAATACACATCCCAAATACAGAAGTACACCTCCCAAATACTGAAATATACATCCCAAATACAAAAGTACCCATCCCAAATACTGAAAAATACATCCCAAATACAGAAGTATACATCCCAAATACTGAAGAACACATCCCAAATACTGAAATATACATCCCAAATACTGAAGTATACATCCCAAATACTGAAGTACACATCCCAAAAACTGAAGTACACATCCCAAATACTGAAATGTACATCCCAAATACTAAAGTACATATCCAAATACTGAAGTACACATCCCAAATACTGAAATGTACATCCCAAATACTGAAGTACACATCCCAAATACTGAAATATACATCCCAAATACTGAAGTACATATCCCAAATACTGAAGAACACATCCCAAAAACTGAAGAACACATCCCAAAGATCAAAATGAAGTACACCAATACTAAAGTACACATCCCAAATACTGAAATATACATCCCAAATACTGAAGTACACATCCCAAATACTGAAATGTACATCCCAAATACTGAAGTATACATCCCAAATACTGAAATATACATTCCAAATACTGAAGTATACATCCCAAATACTGAAGTACACATCCGAAACACTGAAGTATACATCCCAAAAACTGAAGTACACATCCCAAATACTGAAATGTACATCCCAAATACTAAAGTACACATCCGAAATACTGAAGTACACCTCCCAAATACTGAAGTACATATCCGAAATACTGAAGTACACATCCCAAATACTGAAATATACATCCCAAATACTAAAGTACACATCCGAAATACAGAAGTACACATCCCAAATACTGAAATATACATCCCACATACAGAAGTATACATCCCAAATACTGAAATATACATCCCACATACAGAAGTATACATCCCAAATACTGAAATATACATCCCAAATACAGAAGTATACATACCAAATACTGAAATATACATCCCACATACAGAAGTATACATCCCAAATACTGAAATATACATCCCAAATACTGAAGTATACATCCCAAATACTGAAATATACATTCCAAATACTGAAGTTTACATCCCAAATACTGAAGTACACATCCGAAACACTGAAGTACACATCCCAAATACTGAAATGTACATCCCAAATACTGAAATATACATCCCAAATACTGAAGTACACATCCCAAATACTGAAATATACATCCCAAATACTGAAGTACACCTCCCAAATACTGAAGTACATATCCCAAATACTGAAGTACACATCCCAAATACTGAAGTACACCTCCCAAATACTGAAATATACATCCCAAATACTGAAGTACACATCCCAAATACTGAAATATACATCCCAAATACTGAAGTACACCTCCCAAATACTGAAGTACATATCCCAAATACTGAAGTACACATCCCAAATACTGAAGTACACCTCCCAAATACTGAAATATACATCCCAAATACTGAAATATACATCCCAAATACTGAAATATACATCCCAAATACTGAAGTACACCTCCCAAGTACACATTCTATATTAAAGTATACATCCCATATTGAGATATGTACAGTTACAACAAAGTTATATTACATATATCCAGTATATCTTTAGATACCTAGTGAAAAACAGTTGATTTGATTTAGAGTAAAGGTATGTGGTCCAAACCAAATTAAAAAGATTTCATCGCATTACACAAACTCAAGAAAGCGGGTACTCAAACATTCATATATATCACATACAAATTACACACTCCTTATCCAGTACAACCATTGTGAGATATGTGTGTAACAAACTCAATGTTGGTAGAATTCCTCTATAGCTCTGAGTTATATGCTGCCTAAATCTGATTTAGTACATATCACTTTTCTAATACTGGGCTTCACAGTACAAGACTTGTAAAATAACTTTTGTGAATGGTACTTCTTACTTGGTACATTGTGTAATCAAATGATGATGCTTTTATTTGAAGGTAAACAGGAATATGGTAACTCGTAAGATTTCTATTTTATCTTATTCAATGATGCTGTTGCCTGACACATAAGGGAGATAACCCAACAACAATCACTGATATGATCTAAGCTGTACGTGTAGCATAGAAATCTAAGGACAAAATGATCCAACATCATCTTTAGATTGATCACCCTGTCTCACAATCTCTTAACATACCATCACAAGTATATTCAAATCTAGTATATCTGGGATTTCATAAAGCTTATATGTCAATACTACCTAAAGTTGTGATTAACCTTAACATCTGGTGTTTTATCCACACAACATTCTATTAATGCTTTCAAGCATGTGATGTACTNCCTAAATAGAAGTAACTTTTTTGTAACTTTTTTCGGTATGGGAAGTTATATCATATAATATTGAACAATCTACCGATATATGTACCTCCATATATTTGTGTACGAAATTGAATGATTCATGACTGCAGGCACAGTGACTTTAACTATTCTGAAATACAGGCTAGGTTCAACATCATGTAGGCTGTATCAGAGTTTTACTACCACAGAACTCACCACACAACCCAGACAGACAGGTGCACACCAACTATCCACATCATTAATGTCCAACATCACCAGCTACCTCACTGTTTTATTTCCTGTATTAATCTTCAGTAATTGAAACAGTCAAATGAAGTTCATCACTGAATGTTCTTCAAGACATTAAAACTTTGCATCTGGTAGATATATAGACACTTTTTGATTTAGGTGTGTCTGTTCTTAGTATTTATTGTCAATACAGGACATTTACGTAATGCAAGCATATACAAGACTTTCCTCAAATGTTACACATATATCGTCCAGGATGGCGATACAGCGTGGCATATCAAAACCTATAAACCATTCTTTTTTAATCTACATGTTTTACATTCCACATTTCAACTGATGTTTTCAGGGTGTAAATCTTACAACAGCTTTTCACTTTGAATATACAACACTATGGTGTAATTTATTGTATCAGAGTCTAGCCTGTTTGTGTGTAAGTTTTCTACATTCTTCCTCAGATCATAGCTCTGTATTATAACATACAAGCAGGTTAAAACACTTAAGAGTGATCAAAAATACAGGTTTAGGATTCTTTAAAACATTCTATAAGCTGTACAATGACTTCTTTATGCAGCTGACCTACTTATCACATGGTGTAGTCTGACCTATTTATNTCTGACCCACTTATTACAGGGTGTAGTCTAACCTACTTATCACAGGGTGTAGGCTGACCTACTTATCACAGGGTGAAGTCTGACCTACTTATTACATGGTGCAGTCTGACCTAGTTATTACAGGGTGTAGTCTGACCGACTTATCACAGGGTGTAGTCTGACCTACTTATTACAGGGTGTAGTCTGACCAATTTATCACATGGTGTAGTCTGACCCACTTATCACAGGGTGTAGTCTAACCTACTTATCACATGGTGTAGTCTGACCTACTTATTACAGGGTGTAGTCTGACCAATTTATCACAGGGTGTAGTCTAACCTACTTATTACATGGTGTAGTCTGACCCACTTATCACAGGGTGTAGTCTAACCTACTTATCACAGGGTGTAGGCTGACCTATTTATTACATGGTGTAGTCTGACCCACTTATTACAGGGTGTAGTCTAACCTACTTATCACAGGGTGTAGGCTGACCTACTTATCACAGGGTGAAGTCTGACCTACTTATTACATGGTGCAGTCTGACCTAGTTATTACAGGGTGTAGTCTGACCGACTTATCACAGGGTGTAGTCTGACCTACTTATTACAGGGTGTAGTCTGACCAATTTATCACATGGTGTAGTCTGACCCACTTATCACAGGGTGTAGTCTAACCTACTTATCACATGGTGTAGTCTGACCTACTTATTACAGGGTGTAGTCTGACCAATTTATCACAGGGTGTAGTCTAACCTATTTATTACATGGTGTAGTCTGACCCACTTATCACAGGGTGTAGTCTAACCTACTTATCACAGGGTGTAGTCTAACCGATTTATTACAGGGTGTAGTCTGACCCACTTATTACAGGGTGTAGTCTAACCCTATACTTATCACATGGTGTAATCTGACCTACTTATTACAGGGTGTAGTCTGACCAATTTATCACATGTTGTAGTCTGACCCACTTATCACAGGGTGTAGTCTAACCCACTTATTACATGGTGTAGTCTGACCCACTTATCACAGGGAGTAGTCTGACCCACTTATTACATGGTGTAGTCCGACCAATTTATCACATGGTGTAGTCTGACCCACTTATCACAGGGTGTAGTCTAACTTACTCATGGCAGGGTGTAGTCTAACCTTCTTATCACAGGGTGTAGTCTGACCTACTTAGTACAGGGTCTAGTCTGACCTACTTATTACAGGGTCTAGTCTGACCTACTTATCATAGGGTGCAGTCTGACCTACTTATCACAGGGTGTAATCTCATTATCTAACAAGCAAGCATTTACAAGTGGTGATGTAAAAAATGGCCAGTACATCACTTAACAATTTGTCCTGTATTTTATTTACATTACACTGTTTTTAATTTAACAAGAAAAGAACTGAAGCCAAGGTGGCATATGCATGGAGCCACCTGGTGCGTAAGTAGTTGAAAATATTCTTTTTACAATATTCAGCTTTCGTGGTTAAAATGACTGAACTAGATAACAGAAGAAATAAGAAACTTGCTTTAAAATTAATTGGCAAATGGTTGGTGGGGATCAGAATCTGTCCAGATAGTGACATTTTCAATCAAATATTTAGATTTGATTGCTCCTTCGATACTCTCATTTGTTTTAATATATAATAAAATACTTTTCAGACATATATACAAGTTATGTATATAGCATTGCTATGAAACAACATCTGTATTAAACAATTAACATATAAAACTTTTGATGACAGAGTGTGTATTGAGGATAACACCGATTTAATTTTAAGTCCGACAAATTTTTAACACATACATTAATTTACTCCTAGGAAGGTATAAGCACCCTATGTCTACCTGATCACCAACATATCCACCATCTATAAACACAACACATACATGTATGTTACCTGTCAGCATGTTTATCAGGGAATGGATAGCATAGAGAGGTCAGAACTGGACATCAGTACTGGTTAGTGTTAATTGGCCAGTGTCCAGATCTATGGAGCTGGGTACACCTGTCAAATCCTGATGACCATTCCACCTGACTCAATTAAAGCTTTGTCCATTCCTCTGCTGGATAATTATAACCAACTAACTAGAGGTAGCAGAGGTAAAATCACTCAAACAAACAAACAAATTAGCCTTGTTAGCTTAGTCAAGGACAAACAGGAATTTTGAAATGATATTTTTTTCAATAAGAGTCATTCAATCAAAAGTTTTCTTTCTGAAGAGGTAATATCTTACCTATCTATAAACCTGTAGTATTAAATTTGATATAAGTAACATAAATATTTTTATCCAGATATAAAATCTTCATAAAATTGAATTTACAACAATCTGGACACCTCACAGCTGGCCTCACACCTACATTAATGGAAGGAAGAGTCTGGGCAGTCGAAGGTGTGTGATGCTGTGCTGTATAGGACTGTCCACAAGCTTTCAGTCATGAAGCTAATGCATATTGCAGTAGTACAGAGTATCATATTTTCCCAGGAAAATTGACTCCAAACAACAGTAAACAGGCTATTTTTACAATGATCCTTTATGCAAGTTTTTCCCAACCCCAACACTGACATCAATCATATAAAAATAAACAAAATAAATCATTTTTAATGCATATACTGCACATGGTATACATTTGGTACTTGAACTAGTTCAGTATTGAACGAATTATAACGATTGTGGAATTATAGCAATTGAAAAAATCGGAATCAGAAAGGGTAAATTGATCGACATTCGATTACAATCAATCATCAGCCCATCATTACTATGCATATAAACTTAATTAACTATTTATATTCAAAATGTTATTGTTATGAAAGTGTATTACAAAGAGCTAGCTATAACATGTTAAAGCTTTCAAATTGTGTGCGTATTTGGGGACTTATCATGCTGTGATGTCAATTTTAAGTTTTGACAGAAATTATCAGATGGTTTCCAAATTATGTTTGTGGCCTGACAGAAACGGATACCCTACAAAACATGACCTTGTTCTGTAAAAATGACCTCCAACATTTGGTAAAACAGTTTGCTGAAAATGTATCACAAGCAAAAAGAAACCATCCTGATCATGAAAGATAAAACATAATTTTCTTTGTTGCTTTAATGAAACTCAAAGCCAACTGTTTACAAACACATTCTCTAAGATTTGCTTTTGTGTATCACAGAATATTGTAAACAATCTGGTTTCATATGCACCATCATAAATCCTGCAGTATTGTAAGTATACACATGTCTTCAGGGAAGTTTATATAGATTTTGATCCATTGTCAAATTTTAAGTACCATCAAATCCTATTGTCACTATAATATGTACAGCTCATCCAAGTCCCACTCCTAGTCTGATGTTATAAAGGTGTGGAAAACAAGATAAGATTTGTAATACACCACAAGCATAAAAAAGAACTTGATATTCCACACCGACTGAATTTTAACATTCATACACCTTTTTACATTTGTTGTCGTCTTTGGTGCTATATTCTACTTTTACCATGATAAAATGGTTCTTGGTTGAATTTTTGATTTGTTTTGACCTGAAAAGAAATATGACGGACAGTAGCGGCTACAGTGAAACGTTTGTCTATTTCCTTAGCATGGCTGTGGCAATAAAAGGGGGAGCAAAGCTACCACATATTCAACCCAATGATAAAAACAGTTGGTGAGATTTTATACAGAATCAGATATATATACAATTACATATTCATGTGAAACTCAAGTTTTTTGCCTTGTTTAATGACAAACATATATATATGCTTATCCAAACGTAGTCATGTGTGAAAGTATGCTGATCTTAAAGCTTCGTTGGCATTTTCATGTGAAACCTCAACTTTTTGCTACTAATCACAAAATAATAATGTCATCAAAACACATTTTCTCAAGACCAGCACTTTGGAAACTTGTTGTAATCTGTCCTACATGATCCCCCGGCGAGAGTTCTTACCTTAAAGCATATGGTAATACTATCATCAGTAGGGCTGTCGGTGGCTGGACTGCACCTCATTGGAGTCCCAAGGCACTAGGCAATTGACACACACCTCCTCTGGGCCCACAAGTTATGGTCTTACAGCACTTTGTAACAGTATAGCACGTCCTTGACTGCAAGTACAGAATATAACACTGTAAGTAAAACACTGCCTCAAGCACTCTTAACCCACAAATAAAGATATTACATCCATCTGTTCCCCTAACCATTTATCTAAATTGAAACAAAAACAAAGGGTTCTAATTACATTTTTTTCACCAAGTGTCGACTTTGGTTGGGCTTTGCTACACATGAAGGTAATTGAACATCTATGTCCTACTCCAGTAAACCGTAACCACTTCAGTGCTAACATCGGCAGGCATGGGTTATCAAGTTGTTATCAGCTGAATTAAAATCTTTCATTATATCTAAATTGGAAACAGTGTTAAGATAAACATCAGTTTATCAACTGAATTATGTTTGAAATTTTTCAAATTAAAATGGGGTATTGATTCTAATATTTAATTCCAAAACAAATCTTACAGCAACTTGTCCCTGATAAAGTCAAAATATCTTCATTCTCAGGTGTGTGTGCTCCAAAGTCCGACCATAAGCTTGAGACCAGAAAGTTAAAATTTGAAAGTCAGTTGATGACAAATTCCTTGGTAGACGACTACGTACCTCACACGCGTATGTCCAATGCCTCTGATCAAACAAACACATCACATTAGAAGCCTGTAGGTGAAGTGTTTCAGCTGACCCATAGATAACAACCTCTTGAACTCATTTGACACGAAATTCCTCATTTTTTTATCAATTCTAAATGTCAACTATTGTGACTTTTGGCACTAGTCAACAAAATAAATAGGACTTAAATTTCGCCATTTCGAAATTTCAATTCATCGAGATTTTCAGAACATCTTGGTAGCCATTAGCACATGCGTCACAACAGCCTCATAATACTAAATTAAGACGACAGTAAACATTTAAATAAATTTATTAAAAGAAAATAAAGAACTGAATTTATTTGGACAAGGTAAAGTAATGCAAGGCAATCCATTCAAATACTTTTCCTCCAAACATCTGATAATGAATATGGACAGCTGTTTCAGTGACGGTAGTTTGAGCTCAAAATATAGGTCACATTGGCCTATATTTGGTATTTGACACTCTGCAATCTAAAGATATACCTGCAATTACCAAGTTTCGTAACTCCAAATGAAATAGTATAGGAGACATGCTTTGAAAAGTTTTTTTAAACAGTGGGGTCTTAGATTAATTTACCAGTATGTCACAACGACACAATTTTGGTAGGTAGCACTCGATCATCCCAAGATTGATCTGAATACCAAATTTGGTAACTCCAGTTTATGTCATATTAGATGCCCCAGACAATTTTTAGGATGGTAGTGCTATCATAGACATCCAGCTTGTGTGTGGTCTCATATATATACACAGTCACACGTAAGTTTGTATGATCATCAACTGCGGATATTTACAATTTCATTCTTTCTAGAAAATGTTTGTTAAACATACACAAGCCCCTACTATTGCTTTGATGAAAATGGTGCACAGTCTAACCAAAGTCACTAAGGTGGAAAATATAGCTTGCGGGTATCTACAATTGATGGTGTAGTACTCATGGAGAAAGTATATGTGCATAAAGTTTGATGATTATAGGTATAACAACATCAAAGAAATGGAGGTAAATACAAAGTGTCACCATGCTAAAGGAGCTAAACACAAAATTGGTGAATTGGAAAAATGTAGGTCACAGTGATCTACTTTTCATGGTGATGTGCCTCTGAAGACATATCTGCATATTAAGTTTGGTGATTTTGGGATTTCTAGTAACAGAGAAATGGAGCATTAAATGCTTCAGTCAACAAAAACCAGTGAAACGGAAACATAAATTCTCATCACTTACATTTCATATAATGGTAAATATATAGTGCTCCTTGATTTATATCTGCATGTGAACTTTGATTATGTCTATAGTATCAGAAAAACAGAGTTGAACATAACAAAATTAATGTTGTACAGATGTATAAACAGAACGACTTACAAATAATGTCCTTTCACTACTGTGGTGGGGGCATGAACACTGAATATTCCAACTAGGCAATTTGATGATGCAAAACAGTAGATCCTTTTATTGCAAAAAAAGGAACCTCAAGTATAAAAGTGAAAAAAAGAGCTCAAATTTAAAGATTTAAAGGGAGTTTAAGTTTTACAGTGTAATGGGTGATCAAATTAAAAGTGTAAAAATAAGCTCAGGCATAAAAGTGTAATTGGGCTAAAAATAAGGCTTGAAATCTTTAACATTAAAATGGCATATTTACGTTTTATTTTCTCAAATGGTCTTTGCTTTATATCATCATACGCCTGCTGCTGTATGTGAGCAAAAGTCTACTGGAAGTTTCATGACATCGTGGTTTGTATATGACTATATACTGAAACGTTTCTGTCATAAAATCATAGTAACTATATGTACTAGCATGCTTTAGTAATACACTACCACAGAAAATACAAGGTTACAACCCTTAGAGCAGAGGAAGTATAGAGGAGGGGGCGGGTGATGAGGGATATTCCATTTAATGTAAAATGCCATATAGTTACATCAGACGGAACTCAAATCACGTTGGTCCTCTGTCTACCCTATCATTAATACTGATGACATAACCTATTAGACTGTTAAACTAGTACATCATGTGATTATCCCTACACATCCTGGCATCCTGCACTGTTCACGGGAACATTACATACTTTGATACCCCTTTTTTCTGATCTGTACACAGTTATTTCTGTGATATCAGAAAGAAATTTACTTATGTAATATGGTTCTGCCTACGTAGTATTAAACTATGATATAATCACAAGTTCGTGCTTTAGTTGTATTTCAGTAGCATTGCATTTAATGGAAATTAGAAATGTACATGGTACGTAAATTATCTGAATTTCTAGTTAAATAATTCAATATTTGAACGAAAGAAATTCTTCTTATTTGTATTGGACGAATTGAAAGTAATCTATTTTAAATTATTTTAATATGAAATACTGATTATATCAGTTTGTACAAATATTGGACATGGTACAGAGAAATCTCAAGATTGAGTGTCTCCAGCATGAACAATTCCTAAATATTTATTTGGAGAAATGTGTTAGTGGCATTTAACATGAACATTACTAACCTGTTTTTAATGTGGATATCATATTTCAGTACCTGTATACCTGGTATGAGGATCAAACGGACAGGGGATAATACTTGTCAATATCTATAATCCTCCATCCACACTCATTTATCATACACAGACAAGTTAGGCCCATAACATTGGATCTTAGCTTGTGAGTTAAGTAGGTCAAAAAAGCTCCCTCCTATCATAAATTGTATATAGTTAATTATTTAGTCTATAAATTCATCCAAGGTAGTAAATTTTAAATATTCACAAATGTACATCATTGCAAAGGTTAACAGTGTCTAGGTCATCTATTTCTACTAACACCAATGAAAAGGTCAACAGTAATGAAAAGGTCAACAATATCTAAGGTTATTTATTTCATGTGTTTCTGCAAACATCATTGAAAAGGTCAACAGTATCCAAGGTCAACTATTTATATGTTTCTGCAAACATCGCTGAAAAGGTAAACAGTATCCAAGGTCAACTATTCATATGTTTCTGCAAACATCACTGAAAAGGTCAACAGTATCCAAGGTCAACTATTTATATGTTTCTGCAAACCTCACTGAAAAGGTCAACAGCATCCCTGTGGTTCTGCATACATCATTGAAAAAGTAAATAGTATCCAAGGTCAACTATTTCATACGTTTAATTGTTTTACAGCATTTGAAATATCGAAAACTACATCAAGGTCATCAATTTCATATATTGAAACAATTTTGCAAAGGTCAATTTGTCTCAAGGTCATCTACATCATAGGTACATGTATATACCGTACTTCACAATCTAGAATTAATGTTTGGCAGACATGTTGAGAAGTGAGAAAGCAAACATATTTCTGTACTTTTTATGGTACACATACTTTGGCAGTGGAGTGGTGATATCGCTAACTCCACAGTAGCATTGTTACACATTGAAAATGTCGTACTTTTAAAGGGGCACTGCTATACAAGTAGTCTCCCTGTCTAAGATTATATGTACATCAGGAATGTCCAAAATAAATCTACCATAAAAAATGTTAGGAGTGCATAATGCTTAGTTAGGCAAATTAAACAGAACAGGGTAATTATTTACAAATGAGCAAGTACTCCTCAGACTGTGTGAGATGTACATTCTTGTCCATCCATCGGTGGCGACTTTTCTCTCACCAGTAAATCAGTACAAATATGGACGGTAGATTTATCTGTGTAACATCTAGCCATTCCTTACTGAAGCCAGCCCCAACCTTATTGTTGGTACGAACATCAAACTGTAAACTCTCACAATCTCTACACAAAGATGTACCATATAAAAATCATTCATAATTTTGGGGGTGGGTCCTAAACAAGGAGTATGCTTTGACTGTCATTACTCAAATACCTTGCTTATATTGTAACTATGTTATACTAGAGGTGACGCTAGGTACACAAAACCTGCCACTTTTCTACATGGTGCATCAAAATTGAGAGGAATGAGAACTTCAGGCTTAATGTATGCTGTCTCCACTGCATAGATATATAATCATGCAGTGTAATAAAACACAGGGACTGGGACATAACACACAATCTGTGTCAGCTAGCCACTGTCTATACCTGTACATGTATTACATAAGATGACAAAAAAAGATCAATGTATCTACTGGCATTTGTGGTTGTAAGCTATTATAACATTACTGTGGTAAATAAGAATAGTGATCACGAACAGTCACCGTAACGTTTCCATGAACATAATGAGAAACAAATAGGAAGCCTTCGGTACAAGTTTGTGTAATGAAGTCAGATTCGGTATTGAAATTTGATTGCATGTTAGATAGGAAGATAGAATGGACGTATGTGACACCTTTTGTCAGACAGGCTGTCTGCCAACATATCCTGTGAGGAAGAGATAAAATTTTAATTTCATTTCCACCAAACACACATTTAGTAATTTACTTATAATGTCAAAGTATTAGAGTAACGACCAGAAACCAATGCCAATGACACAGGATACGTTTGTTATAAGATTCATCACGTTCTCCATGTGACCTTGAAACCTCAGCATGTAGCCACCATCATGTCTAATCAATTACTTAATTATAGGAGTGACTTAAAAGTTTGATTTCATGACATTTTTCACCCACATACAATTATAAGTCAACATCTATTGTTATAGTTCATACGCATGTCATATATAACTGACCATCCTATTTGACCTTGAACTTGGACCCAAGGTAAATACATTATTCCGGTGGATACATTAATATAAGGGGATTGACAGCTAGCTGGATGGTGATGAGCCACCTTAATGCTGCTGGGGATATATGGTCAGATAACCATAAACATAAATTATTTACAGTCTAAGGCATTTAATCAGATTTAAGACATTCCAAAATCCTCTGACAAAATCCCACAAGGGAAAATTTCACATGAATGAAAATATCACTTTCTGATGGACAGGTTTTATCAGTGAAGATGATCCAATAATATTCACAGCTTCTGTAGATATAATTCTCGTTTATTTAAAGTCCTTGTCACCGAGGGTTATATATTAAAGTCAAGTGTACTGTTGTCAAATTCACACCTGTAGCTGGACATTGTTAACTGATCTACCTGAGATACTACTGTGACAGGAAGAACAGGTACAAGTTGATGACACTTCACCTGTTATTGTTGTCTCGCATAGCTGTCACATGTAAACATACCGTCAGGAGATGGGGGATAACTTAAAAAAACACATACCTAAAAATAACATATTGTGGACTGAAATGTGAAGCTGAGTGGTACTGACAAACCCCTTTATCAGTCACACCATCTGACACTCGCTATGTTACTTAGGTAATGTAAGAACAAGTTATGTAATTGTGTTATTGTTTCTGACTAAACATCTTCTAAGTCAAAAAAGGTCGTTTAAACATGAGCTCAAGTGAGTCAGCTTCACATGTTACCATAATTCCAATAAAAAGTACTAGTTCTCACAAAAGTAATTATATTTATTACAGTATTTTACCAGTGATAAACCAATGCTCAGCAATTAGCCTGTTTCCTTGTTTAAGCACATTTTACAGATGATGATCACATAAGGGGTCATTTACAGCAGGTTTTACAGGTAATACTATTGAAGCTCTCTTTAATTTGTAGAGAAATATGTGTTCAATTTATATCACTATTAACAGAAGTGACTAAATTAAGACCTAGCTACATTCATGATAATTACGTACGTTACAGCAATAAGCATACAATTAAGATATGTGCACCACACACTGATAAAAGGTTTATTTCTATCTAGAGGCAGCAAAAGCATGTGTAGTTTCTATCAAAGTCTGTTAGTAGAATGACATCCATGCATATAGAGTTTCTGAAGAACTGCTTCAAGTTTTCACCATATTCATACATTCGACACCCCTCCATACTGAATAAAGATTTTATAATTTGGGCATAAAAGTTAAATGTTTCCACTTATTTGCTTAAAAAGAAGCTGTGAACAAAGTCAGTGTTTCCATTTCCATTATCAAATGTTACAAGCAGTAAAAACAAATTGTTTAAACCAACCCTGAATTGTTTGAAACTTTCAATATTATACCCACTGTATATACAATATATCTCCTTTAATCTGTTAAGTCCTAGTTTCTCTCTGTACACCTGATCCGAGTGGACCATTTATATATATGCTATCTCACCTGTAACGGACATAGGTAATTGTCACCTTACCTGTTTACCTGTACAGGAAGTGCAATGATAATCACACCCAAAACTTCTTTCCTGTTAGAGTCCAATCTCAATGTAATTCCCAGATCAGTCTCAGCTGTAACTTTGTGGCTCTTTGACACCTGAATAACAGACCGAATGGCAGAGAGACATATATGTATATACTTTCATATAATCACACTTAATCTTGTAGGTTTGAACTCTCGAGTTGCCTACAATTAGGGTCGGGGTCTATTTAGTGTCACCTATATATCAAACTGTTTGGCCTTTGTGTCCCCCAGACCATTGAAAGCTGCTCCTAACCACACTCTGACAATACAGATTGAGGCAGATAGGGACACTAACCTATCATTATCGTTTTACTGATTGGAAAACTCAATGGTCTGAACCCACGTTTGAAAAATTTGGCAATAACAGAGTTGAGAATACCAGATCATATCCTTCATTGATTTTGGCAATATGTCTTTATATCACTACAGAGCAGACAGAGAAATCAATATCTGGTTATTTAGAGTATTAATACCAAAGATAGCTATATGAATATTTTAATAATACAGAAAAGTGTAATTTCATGTCACTCTGATTATACATATTCTTGCAGCAAAAATTAAAAAATTAAAGAAATGAAACAAATTTCATGCAAGTTCAAATAATTTTTGATCAATTATGAATACAAGGAAGTGATATTATCAAGGATTAAATCATGAGCAATGAAAAACATCAAATGAACATGCATCACTGGTGAGAATTGATTTCTCTCCAACTGGAAATGCATCACCAATAAAGCTTGACTTCTCTCCAACTGCAGATTTGCCACCCATGAGGGCCAAATTCTTACCAATGAGGGTCAACTTCTGTCCAACTGAAGATATGTTACCAATGAGGGTCAAATTCTCACCCATGAGGGTCAACTTTTCTCCAACTAATTTAAAGATACATCACCAATGAGGTTTGACCTCTCCCCAACAAAAGATACATCACCAATGAGGTTTGGCCTCTCCCCAACAAAATATACATCACCAATGAGGCTTGACCTCTCCCCAACAAAAGATACATCACCAATGAGGTCTGGCATCTCCCCAACAAAATATACATCACCTATGAGGTTTGGCCTCTCCCCAACAAAAGATACATCACCAATGAGGCTTGGCCTCCCCCCAACAAAAGATACATCACCAATGAGGTTTGGCCTCTCCCCAACAAAATATACATCACCTATGAGGTTTGGCCCCTCCCCAACAAAAGATACATCACCAATGAGGTTTGACCTTTCCCCAACAAAATATACATCACCAATGAGGTTTGACCTCTCCCCAACAAAATATAGATCACCAATGAGGCTTGACCTCTCCCCAACAAAAGATACATCACCAATGAGGCCTGACCTTTCCCCAACAAAAGATACATCACCAACAAAAGATACATCACCAATGAGGCTTGACCTCTCCCCAACAAAAGATACATCACCAATGAGGTATGACCTCCCCCATACAAAAGATACATCACCAACAAAAGATACATCACCAATGAGGCTTGACCTCTCCCCAACAAAAGATACATCACCAACAAAAGATACATCACCAATGAGGTTTGACCTCTCCCAAACAAAAGAAACATCACCAATGAGGCTTGGCCTCCCCCAACAAAAGATACATCACCAATGAGGCTTGACCTCTCCCCAACAAAAGATACATCACCAATGAGGTTTGACCTCTCCCCAACAAAAGATACATCACCAATGAGGCATGACCTCCCCCATACAAAAGATACATCACCAACAAAAGATACATCACCAATGAGGCTTGGCCTCTCCAAAACAAAAGATACATCACCAATGAGGTTTGGCCTCTCCCCAACAAAAGATACATCACCAATGAGGTTTGACCTCTCCCCAACAAAAGATACATCACCAATGAGACTTGGCCTCTCCCAAACAAAAGATACATCACCAATGAGGCTTGACTTCTCCCCAACAAAAGATACATCACCAATGAGGCTTGGCCTCTCCCCAACAAAAGATACATCACCAATGAGGCTTGACCTCTCCCGAACAAAAGATACATGACCAATGAGGCTTGGCCTCTCCCGAACAAAAGATACATCACCAATGAGGCTTGGCCTCATTGGTGATGTATCTTTTGTTCGGGAGAGGCCAGGCCTCATTGGTCATGTATCTTTTGTTCGGGAGAGGCCAAGCCTCATATTGGTGATGTATCTTTTGTTGGTGATGTATCTTTTGTTGGGAAGAGGCCAAACCTCATTGGTGATTTATCTTTTGTTGGGGAGAGGCCAAGTCTCATTGGTGATGTATCTTTTGTTCGGGAGAGGCCAAGCCTCATATTGGTGATGTATCTTTTGTTGGTGAGGTAACTTTTGTTGGGGGGAGGTCAAGCCTCATTTGTGATGTATCTTTTGTTGGGGAGAAGTCAAACCTCATTGGTGATGTATTTTTTGTTGGGGAGAGGCCAAACCCCATTGGTGATGTATCTTTTGTTGGTGATGTATCTTTTGTTGGGAAGAGGCCAAACCTCATTGGTGATTTATCTTTTGTTGGGGAGAGGCCAAGTCTCATTGGTGATGTATCTTTTGTAGGGGAGAGGTCAAGCCGCATTGGTGATGTATATTTTGTTGGGGGGGGGTCAAGACTCATTGGTGTTGTATCTTTTGTTGGGGAGAGGCCTAACCTCATTGGTGATGTATCTTTTTTTGGGGAGAGGCCAAACCTCATTGGGGATGTATATTTTGTTGGGGAGAGGTCAAACTTCATTGGTGATGTATCTTTAGTTGGGGAGAGGTCAAACCTAATTGGTGATGTATCTTTTGTTGGTGATGTATCTTTTGTTGGGAAGAGGCCAAACCTCATTGGTGATGTATTTTTTTTTGGGGAGAGGCCAAGCCTCATTGGTCATGTATCTTTTGTTCGGGAGGGGTCAAGCCTCATTGGTGATGTATATTTAGTTGGGGAGAGGTCAAACCTCATAGGGGATGTATCTTTTGTTGGGGAGAGGTAAAACCTCATTGGTGATGTATATTTGTTGGGGAGAGGCCAAACCTCATTGGGGATGTATCTTTTGTTGGGGGGAGGTCAAGCCTCATTGGTAATGTATATTTTGTTGGGGAGAGGTCGGACCTCATTGGTGATGTATCTTTTTTGGGGGAGAGGCCAAACCTCATTGGTGTTGTATCTTTTGTTGGGGGGAGGTAAAGCCTCATTGGTGATGTATCTTTGGTTGGGGAGAGGTCAAGCCTCATTGATGATGTATGATGTATATTTTGTTGGGGAAAGGTCAAACCTCAGTGGTGATGTATCTTTTGTTTGGGAGAGGTCAAACAAAAGAAACATCACCAATGAGGCTTGGCCTCATTGGTGATGTATCTTTTATTGGGGGGAGGTCAAGCCTCATTTGTGATGTATCTTTTGTTGGGGAGAAGTCAAACCTCATTGGTGATGTATAATATTTTGTTGGGGAGAGGCCAAACCTCATAGGTGATGTATATTTTGTTGGGGAGAGGCCAAACCTCATAGGTGATGTATATGATGTATCTTTTGTTGGGGAGAAGTCAAACCTCATTGGTGATGTATAATATTTTGTTGGGGAGAGGCCAAACCTCATAGGTGATGTATATGATGTATCTTTTGTTGGGGCGAGGCCAAACCTCATTGGCTACCATGTTGTGAGTTTAATTCAGATAAGTCGACATGAGCCAAATTGGAGCACATCCTCATGTGGGGATAGCTCCATCCTCATTGTTGATAAGAAAAATCGACCCTCAGTGGTGGTTTATATTTTGTTGCGGAGAGGCCAAACCTCATTGGTGTTGTATCTTTTGTTGGGGAGAGGCCAAACCTCATAGGTGATGTATCTTTTGTTGGGGAGAAGTCAAACCTCATTGGTGATGTATGTTTTGTTGGGGGGAGGTCAAGCCTCATTGGTAATGTATATTTTGTTGGGGAGAGGTCAAGCCGCATTGGTGATGTATCTTTTGTTGGGAAGAGGCCAAACCTCATTGGTGATTTATCTTTTGTTGGGGAGAGGTCAAACCTAATTGGTGATGTATCTTTTGTTGGTGAGGTAACTTTTGTTGGGGGGAGGTCAAGCCTCATTGGTAATGTATATTTTGTTGGGGAGAGGTCAAACCTAATTGGTGATGTATCTTTTGTTGGTGATGTATCTTTTGTGGGGGGAAGGTCAGGCCTCATTGTGGTGATGTATCTTTTGTTGGGGCGAGGTCAGACCTCATTGGTGATGTATCTTTTTTGGGGGAGAGGCCAAACCTCATTGGGGATGTATCTTTTGTTGGGGGGAGGTAAAGCCTCATTGGTGATGTATCTTTATTGGGGAGAGGTCAAGCCTCATTGGCGATGTATCTTTTGTTGGGGAGAGACCAAACCTCTTTGGTGATGTATCTTTTGTTCGGGAGAGGCCAAGCCTGATTGGTCATGTATCTTTTGTTCGGGAGAGGCCAGGCCTCATTGGTCATGTATCTTTTGTTCGGGAGAGGCCAAGCCTGATTGGTCATGTATCTTTTGTTCGGGAGAGGCCAAGCCTGATTGGTCATGTATCTTTTGTTCGGGAGAGGCCAGGCCTCATTGGTCATGTATCTTTTGTTGGGGAGAGGCCGAGCCTCATTGGTGATGTATCTTTATTGGGGAGAGGTCAAGCCTCATTGGTGATGTTTCTTTTGTTTGCCCTCTCCCAAACAAAAGAAACATCACCAATGAGGCTTGGCCTCTCCAAAACAAAAGATCAATCACCAATGAGGTTTGGCCTCTTCCCAACAAAAGATACATCACCAATTAGGTTTGACCTCTCCCCAACTAAATATACATCACCAATGAGGCTTGGCCTCTCCAAAACCAAAGATACATCACCAATGAGGCTTGCCCCCCCCCCAACAAAATATACATCACCAATGCGGCTTGACCTCTCCCCAACAAAAGAAACATCACCAATGAGGTTTGACCTCTCCCTAACAAAATATACATCACCTATGAGGCTTGGCCTCCCCCCAACAAAAGATACATCCCCAATGAGGCTTGGCCTCTCCCCAACAAAATATACATTACCAATGAGGCTTGACCTCCCCCCAACAAAATATACATCACCAATGAGGTCTGACCTCTCCCCAACAAAAGATACATCACCAATGAGGGTCGATTTTTCTCATCAACAATGAGGATGGAGCTATCCCCACATGAGGATGTGCCCCAATTTGGCTCATGTCGACTTATCTCAATTAAACTCACAACATGGTAGGTCACCTCCAACAACAAAGATATCGTCTAACTACATTTATGAAAGAAAACAAATTATATACTGTTTAACGGGAAATTTTCATCACAGTTTTTCTTTTGCCTTTTTTGCTCTCCCAAATGAGGGTGAATTAGTAAACAACATACAATTTATAGACTACATGTGAAATGAATGAGACAAACATGGATTATATCAGCAAAGGATGAATACTACAGTATACCTGTTACATACCTATCCTGGTGTATTTAGGCTTACGTCTGTTGATCCTGTTATATTTTTGTGATCAAGGTGCCGATGATATTGTAGTTCGTGCCATTATGATGAGTACTGGTAGAGTGTATTGACGTCAAGAGTCTGCACGGATGTTATCGTAAATCTCAAACAGAATCTGTAAAAGATAGATTTACATATCTCAAATAAGTGTCAACAACCTACTGAGCAAATGTATATGGGCTACGTCTGTAGCCTGCAGTTAGCCAAAACTGGCTACATTCTTTACATTTCAAATATCAACTGATCTATCAAAGTCGTCGATGTTGTCTGATAAACAAAATTAAGTACATCTTTCAGTAAACTTAATTATTTTCTGTATGAATTTAATTAGCAGCACTAACATCAGTTCAAAGCTAGTGAAGTTATAATGCTTTTGATCATATTCAAGGTGAAAATTACTATAGTGTCAGTTATTTATTACAAGTTCTACAACATCTATTTTTTAGTAGTTTAGGAATCCATTTACAAATTCATTCCACAACCCAGCAGAATACCCATCATTTCTATCCTTTCTATTCTACTTACATATCAAAACTCTACATGCGGAGAAAAAAAACCGGAAATGATATGAAAATACAATTGTTGCCAATGAAACATGCAGGTTTATGTTTATTTTAATTGAAAATGTCTGACAACTTTAAGAAGAACTTTCTTGTCGTAATTTCAAATTCAGTTTTCTGAATTATCAGAATTAAAGTAACCATAACATTATCAATTTGACTTCAAATGTTTAGGGTCCTCAGAATATTATTTATTATACATATAGTGCCTATTTTTCACAGAGGTTATATTTACACATGCAGCCTTCCTATAGAGTTAATTACTGAAATTTAATGATTATAATCCTGTCCCAAATTAAAACCCTATAAATTTGTTCAATAAATTCAACTAGGAAAGCTTGACCCTATTAAATTTAAGGGCTATATCAAGACAGCATCAATGCAAACATTTACATTAATTAACAAGTTAAATGTTCAGCTTTTGTAAATGTCATTATCCATTCAACAAGGAGACATATTGTGAAAACTGATGATATTTGGACATTTCTCCAATCATCGTGATATACAGAATACGGTCTCAGTAATTACTAATTAGGGCCGTCACAATACTTGTATATCCAAAAACAGTGTATCACAATACACCGAATTATTTTATCACATTGCATTACAAAAATTAAGCATCTCTTCAAAGGTTGAGGGTAATTTTTGGATTTGGCACACTTCTGATTTGAACAATTTAAAGCAGTGACTCTGATTTTATATAGAACTGTTACCTGAAAGCTATCAACGATAAAAAAAACTGTTGTCACTTCTTATTATTTATTATTCATGTAGCTTTCAGTAAGTAGTGTAAATAAACAGAAAATCAGTAAAATATATACCTGTAACAGAGGAAAGGTAGATAATATATGTTTTCTGCTACCTGTACAGGTCTATTTCCGTCTGTGTTTTATCTCTACATCAGTCTAGCTCAGACACACAATAGGCACCTCTAATTAGCCTCACATACACAACAAGGTGATGCCAGTGATATAGTCTTTAAGCATACAGCAAATAATTAACAATTTCCTTCACTGTTAATTATCAGTTACCGTAACATCCCTACAGAACAATCATATGACACTTACTCTTGGAAGGACATGAGAGACATTCCACTGTTTTTTAATGTTAAGGTTATATGCATCATTTTAAAACCCATATACCTGTTATTATGTAAGGATTATCTCCCTTTTTTCCCAATTTACTTTATCCAATTTTTTTGAACTACACAAACTTTTTTTCAAGTCTGCATTCAAATGATTATGTGTTGTTAACTAATTAACAATTTTCTTAGAGTAGAACTCATCCTTAATTCCAATCTGCTATAGGGTGGTATGCGTATGGCTTATAAGGCATGGGTTCAATGGTAATCTGCTATAGGGTGGTATGGCGTATAAGGCATGGGTTCAATGGTAATCTGCTATAGGGTGGTATGGCACATAAGGCATGGGTTCAATGGTAATCTGCTATAGGGTGGTATTGCGTATAAGGCATGGGTTCAATGGCAATCTGCTATAGGGTGGTATGGCGTATAAGGCATGGGTTCAATGGCAATCTGCATTAGGGTGGTATGGCGTATAAGGCATGGGTTCAATGGCAATCTGCTATAGGGTGGTATGGGTTTGGCTGCTGATATTGCTTTTGATCCAATTAAATATATAGAATATAATTAAGGACATGCATTAAAAAACACAGATTTTCAGTAAAACCTTGTCGTAATGTCCTTTAATTTCATTGACCACATCATTTTTGAAGATCCCTATACAGTTTATTTTAAAAATTCAATAATTCTTCATTCTGAATGCCAATTATGATTGTAACATCTAAATTTGCTAGAAATAAGATATTTTGAAGAGGCTTTACAGACTTAATGCAAATAAAGTGGAATTAAAATGGGATAACTATAAGTATACTGCAAACAACCCATCAGTTTAGTCATAACGACCATGAATAATGAGTGGATGCATTAGAATAGAACTTGCCTGTCTAGTTCAGGTGACCAAAGACTGACCTCTATATAATGGTCACTGGTAATGTGTGAGCATGGACATGATTGCACCCTTGACCACTCACAGCATTTTAGTACCTGATATCTAAAGACTGATAGGTGTGACTATGAAAATAGCCAGCATTTCATTACCATACCAGTAAAGCTAAATGTTGTCCAAATGGACTGAAATTATGGCCATAGAAATACAACTTGTATTTTTATTCGTTTATCAATTACCAGATCAAAATATTTAACAGGAATGACAAATATATGGTCATTTTTTCATGTAGACCATCTGAAAATAAAATCTGATAAAGCAATATTTTCTTTCAAGTGAAAATACCAATGAGATTAAACATATATATATACACATTTACATTAATAATGTAAATAATGCACTCTCAAGCATTAACATATTTCATTATGTACTTCATATCAAAATCACCATACATTCTAATAAATTATAAACCCTTTTAAGGAAGATACTTACGCCACATTTCTAATTGATGTTTTTGTAAATGTTTAAATTAATATGGTTAAGTACATGTATAATAATCTGGTGTGCTTTGACATAGCCAGACAGATGCTATATGCAACATCTCAAAAGAACGTGAATGTTACTTGTGCTGTAGGCATTTGTAATAACCTTTATTTCAATCTACATGTCCCTGACCTTTGTAACCTGAGCAGGTTCGGGGAAAGAATAGGCCTGTATGATCGTAAGAGGTGACTAATGCGTTCTGAATTTTGTGATCGGTGCGCATCAATTCCAATTGTTTTCAAGTTTTCAAGTTTGAACAAATGAGGCTGAGGACAATTTCTGTCCATTGTCATGGAAACTTAATCACTGAATTACATCATCGTCCTGTTGTATGGATGTAATCAGACAATTTTATTAGTCCACTTTGAGACTTAAAGGAGCTGAAATGTGGACTCATGGAAAATAATGTTCAGTATTATTCTTAAAGGTCCAAATCTGAATTACTACTGTACCATGCAATATTCCATATTCTAAGCAACTGGTCCCAGCCCTAAAATAATGAAAAACCTAACAGTGATTTTTCTACCCAAAGTTTAAAACAGCTTGTTGCTACATGAATTGGGAAAATAAACATTCTTTTTTATTGAAATTTAGAAGATACTCTTCGTTATTTCTTCATTTCGGAAAATATAACACCTTTATTTAAGGGGAAGCAGCTTGTATTCATGTGTCTGGCTCTAAAATTCACTGCCTAATAATAAAATATCTTGATCCTTACATTGTGTCGAACTTTTATTTATTTTGTATTTACCGAGCAGGAAAACAGCTGTTGTATTTATAATTCCAGGATCAATATCTCAGACTTCCATATAAGTTAAAACTCCATACTGACATTTTCTGCATATAAAAAAATACTTTCTTCATAATCTTTATCATGTAATCTATATGTGAGCAAACAAAATATCTATAGTCTTTCTTATGAGTATACATGTTACATAGCTAACATTTTGTATACACCTATGATAGAACCACAGTGAATCAACATTCAGAACATTATGTTGAAGTCTTCCTGTAGTATCTCAAACAATCTAAGATGATAATACATTGGTCCTAGGAATGATCAAGCTTCTAGATGTTGCAGTACTTTTTTTTCATCGGTCTCCAAAGGTTTAAACGCAGATCATTCTTCTCTTGTTGCATCAATCAGAGATCTGCAAACCATTTCCTGGTACAGTACAGTATATGACACTTACAAATTGTCAACACATTTAAGTACAAACCTGTAGACAGAAGGTATATATAACCATGGTAACATGTACTTACCTTGACAGTGAGTGCATTGCACCTGTAACCATATCTGTTAAGGTTGATTTCCATGGACATATATGTCTTTTGTGTGTAAACAAATGAAACCAATGGAAAAAATGCCCCACCCTATGTATCATGTTCCTGTAAATAGAAACAGGTGTTTCTAAAAGCATGTGTCACATGATATACCTGTGTTTACAAAAAATTAACAATTTCTATATAATGTACAAGTGTAAATATGCCTGAAAAGATTAAAAGAGGCTCGGAGGCCCTAGTAGCTCACTCTGTCTTTTATTAAAAAAATGAAATATTTTTAATTTTTAAAAAGGTACAATATTACAATTCATGGATTTTCTTTTCTTTTTTTTTCTGTGAATTTCCTTCATTATATTAATGTGTGTTTGGTTACTGTAGTTACCTACCCCAGTTTTTTAAGCCTACCCTAAACTTGTTTAATGTGATCAGTTTCAAAGAAGCACTTTTCACCATTTTTGCAGCGTGCTGTAAATATAGGTATAGGCACTATTTGGGTATGTGATGGTGTCATTTGATGATGATGCGAATGGCTTAAGTTGTAATATATTGTAAAGGAAGTGATTGGAAATAGATTGGTACGTAAAAGATTAAAATAGTGTTATTATAAACATAAATATGAAGCTTTGTTTTTGCATTTTTGCTCTAATATGTATTTGTCTATTTCTGTATTCAGTGCTCTGAAACTGCTGTCCGGTCACCTAAGGCTATATATTTAAACGACTGGTTATAAGCAACATATAATGCTTAATTTCAGTGTGATCTTTTCTTCTGTCAGTTTTCATTTCAAATCTCCAAAAGCCAAACGTCCTGTCAAGACCGTCATCAGCAACAAGGTATTAGCTCTAACGTTCATTGAGCATATTCAAACTCTTATTCTGATACATGACTATTGACTTTAATCAAATTTTAGTAGAAATAAAATTTACAGTACAGGTATTTTATCAAAAAATACTATTTTATTGCATTTTTTTTATCAAGTCCTCAAGGCATTGTGCCTAAAACGATTATGTGGGAAGGGGAATAACTCTTATTCTTGTCATTTGTTGCCACCGTCTGCTTGTCGTGTCTCATTTAATAACAAGACAAGCATTGTCACCTTAACTATTCATTCTCGAAGTGAGACATTCAGCTATTTACCATTTCATATATATATTCTGCTGTGTTAGGATTGACCCTATCGCTTCGAAAATCTGCACAAGGGTCTCTGTCGCTTTTGTCTTCCTTCCTTTCACTTCTACAATTAGTTAACCCGCACTTTCACTTCATCCGCATAAAATAGTCCGTTTTACGGTGAAGGCATTCATTTTAACAATCTCTGCTCTTTCTTTAATACCAATATAAACAAATAGCCGATAACATGTTTTCTTCTTAATTGATTTCTACATTTTCAGATAATATAATTTACGAAAAATGAAGTCTGATCCATCATGTTGATTTTCACATCCGGTATTCCTACGCATACAACACTACAGCGTTCGCTCTATCCGTACCATACTATGGTAAGTTTTCCTAGTCATTCTGCTTGCGAATCTACTAGGTAGAGACCCACATGCCATATGTTTATTTAAGACAGTTAATTGAATATGAAATATTGCACGGAATTCATCCATTTTCTTATTCGCTTCGGTTGAAGGATGAAATGTCAAATGACAGGTGCTTCTTATCCGCCATTTTCGTCCCTCGTCGATCTCTCTCTCCACCTGTTTTTTTTGTAAATTATCTGTGTTGGAACGTTTCCTTGCTTATAAAATGCTTCGAAATAAGTTAAAGTTGATTTTTACTATAACTCAAGATAATTGTCAATGACACAATCTTATAAAACGGATTCATTTATTCATTTCCGTTCTTTGTTCTGTCTATCCGCCATATTTTATTAAGGGGGCGTGGTTTGTTATGAAAACGGAATCATGCGTACGGAGATCTATGTGTTTGGTGATGACAAGCGTATTTTCATGTTTCCGTTGCAGACAGCAGTTTACTGTTATTTAAATGTATTAATTTTTAGACATTTATAGAATGACAAGAGTAAAAAAAAAGCTAAATAATCTATAAATATTTTTTTTTTTGGTAAGTGAATAAAATATTAAAGCAAAAGATTACTTACATTTCTGTAGAAATATTAAAAGATAATCAAAATGGGGGGAAATTAAATTTAAATTTTTAAAATTATATAACAGATCATTACTTTTTCTGAAGTGAATCACCGGTCTAACACATTTGATATCTGGAGCTTGTGCAAGGCTATAATTCTGATTTCTCATGTAATGCTACGTTTATTGATGCCATAATATATGGCAGCAGGGACGTATAATCTCTATATACTGTCCCTGATGGCAGATACTGTGGGAGTGGGAGCAGATTTGAAATAAAAGTCTGTGGCCGTTTCAGTGATGGGCTGATGATCGATTATTATCAGAAATCAATTGGTTAATGCCCTGTTCGATTATCAATTACAAACAAAATTGATTTATAGTTCTTTTCTGACCAAACCAGCGGTACCGGTTATATCATGTTTATCTAACTCAAGTTAGTTAATCTTCAAATTTTATGAAGACACAAGGTTTACCAAGTGTCTTTTACAATTTGAAGATTAACTAACCAGATTAAAGTTTTTTCTTAATGAGCCATCTTCCCATAATTACCAACCCCACAACACCCATTTGAATGTCAAAAGTTCAAATAAAAGTTTGCTGAAAAAAGTGTATATAAATTGTATTTGTTACAAAATTATTTCATACATCTATTTGATATACTGAGATTGATTGTACAACTTTTCATATTATTAATGCATTGAATCAGACTGAGTATTGCAAAATTCAAACATTTACTCCTGTACCAGTTATTGAAATATAAAAACTGAATTATTTTCTTTTTTTCCTTGTTTTGGAAAAGGCATGGATGGACTTGGAAGTGGCTACAGTTTTGGACATAGTGACCTGGAGTTCCCTTCCCCTGATGGCCAGCTGTCCGGACATGGAGGGGGAATTTCCAACTTTGCCTCCTCCCTACACCTAAGTTACCCACACATCCAACATGGAGGAGCAGCACTAAGAGACTCCGGCTACTCTACCCCAGGGCTCAATGGAAGGAGCTCCCACGGGGTCAACACATTCCATATGCCTAGATTTCCCATGAGTGTGGCTCCAGAAACAGCTATTCAAGCGGTTCCTGGTATTCCAGCTCCAGATTTCAGTCACATTATTCCACGCCATCATCTTGTGTCCCCCCATACTCCTTCCCCTTCATTGCCTCACATATCAAGCTTTGGTGAATCTGTGTATTTGTCATCTGACCGTACCACAGTACCGCAAACATCAGTTTCCCATAGTGATAATGACCACTCATCTTTTGGTTCAATCATGGCATCTGCCGTCTCAAATATTTCCACAATGAACATTCCACTGCAGCCCTATGAAACCCAGCTGACTGGCACACACACAGAATCTCAGGTGTCAGATTTGACCCTCCCCAGACTTCGGGAGAGCTCCACCTATAACTCTGTAATGACTAACACATCGCAATCTCAGGCTTTTCTTGACTTTCCATCAAGCACCTCAAGTGAGACCGAATCACGTAACTCTGAAGCTGTTCAGGCCGTATCTTCCCTGGCATCATTCCCACAGCCTCTACTACCCCAATCATTCCAGGGACAAGTGAACTCCACACAACCTCCATCCTCCTCCTCTTACCCAGTTGTGAGGAACATGTTACCAGAGCAACCAGTATTACTTCCGAGACCAACCAACACTCAGACCCTGCCAATGGAAAACCTGGATGGTGATCAGCAAGTTCCAAATGCAGTTATGTCCCCTGCATCAGGCTGTTCCTCACCAAATATTCGAAACCCTTCTACCCAAGACAACAGGCCCCTAAGTTTACTACATCAGACATCAACGGTCACCCATGACAGTCTCCAACTGCAAGTGGCACAGACAGACAATATGGCAACTCTTCAGAATGAGACCAGCTTTGCAAATTCAACATATCTAGGTGGTGAACTTTGTACTGATGATAAATTTGTTGTGGCTTCAGAACCAACCAAGTGTTCAAGTCCAGAATCATTTGATAACCAAACGCCAAAGAGTGCAGCTAATAATCATGACAATAGTGTGCATCCAGTTGCTAGCAGTAGTAGAACAGAGACAAGTACATGTTACCAGCCTGGACAGAGACGGAGCCCAAGGAGGAGTAGTTCAAGGCTGATGGATAGACGTAGCTGTACAAAAACACATACATCGTCAGACAGTAGGACCGATCATCTACAGGTTTCCCTTGATCAAGTTGATTTAACAGAAAACGATGACATGAAAGAGAGAGAACAAGATCAATCCCCAGCTAAAGGGATAAAGAGACTGGAATATGTTGGGCATGAAAAAGAATCCCAGGAAATTGTTTCAGACCATAGGTTATCTGTGAATTCTACAAGTACTGTAGGTAGAAATCTTGTGTCTTTCTTCAAACTTGGAAAGTTGTGGAGAAAGCCAAGGAGGTCTAGACTAAAAGTTCCCCCACCACTGGACCTATCTGTGTCATCAGAAGAAGCTGAGGATCTGGAGGAAGAGGAGGAGGAGGAGGAGTACCCGTATGAATCTCTAGCCCAGGATCAGGATGAGTCTTTGGTAAAAGAGGAGGAACAGTCTCCTGGGATAACAAAGGAAGATAGAGACCAACAACAGTTCATCAGGATGTCTCAGCCAGTCTTCAGTAGGAACAGTGAACAGGACACCCAGGACCTGACAGACTCGCACCTCGACAGGAGTCAGCAGTTTATGGACAATCATGTCTTAGAAGGTGAAGGAAAAGTAAGTCGAAGGAAAACAAGGAGATCATTTATCTATCATACTGAGGAATCTAAAGCTGGCAGTGCTGATAAGAGTAATAAAAAACCAAATCTCAGTGAGGACTATTTAAGTAAGTGTACTGAGGAAATTGTGGCTGCTGCTATGGGTGATCTCCCCTTAGAAAACCATGAAAAAAGAAGATTCAACACCAAATCAAATCCATTTGCAATCACCTCCCCTAGCTTTGGAACCTCGGCAGCTCGTGCTGTCATGACAACCTCGGTGGCTAACAATGCTACTGTGATCACCATTTCTATCATGGGGAAGGGTAATGCCAAGAAAGGCCAAACCAAGACCATCAACATCAATAAGGGAGTCATTATGTCCACCAGTTTTCAGGATCGGCCAGTCAGGAATAGGGAAGGGGTTGAAGAGGAAGACAAATCAGAGGTAGGGATGCAAACAACTTCAATCATGTCAAGGTTAAAACGAGAGAAGGAAGATCAGGGTGGACAGGATGATGACAGCGATGTGGTCGAGACCATGGAGGTGAATGTTCGCATTGACGATTCACAGCTTGTACAGCATGGAGAACATAAACGGTGGCAGTGCCACCTGTGTGAGAAATCATACACTACAAAGCATAACCTGGTGGCACACATCCTAGACCACAACAACATCAAACCACACCTCTGTATGGTGTGTGGAAAGTACTTCAAGCAGCTGAGCCACCTAAATACCCATATGCTCACCCACGACAACATCCGACCACACAAGTGTGATGTCTGTGGGAAGGGATTCACCCAGATCAGCCACCTGAAGCGACACACTGCAGTGCACTTGGACAGCAAGCCTTACAAATGTGACATGTGTAGCCGTGGTTTTGCATACCCGAGTGAGCTGAAGGCACACAAGGAGAAGCACATGCAAGGTCATGATAAATGCGACGAGTGTGGGATGGAGTTTGAGAGTCCTCGCGCCCTCAAACTTCACCAGCTCAAACATGACAACCGGGAGGACCTCATATGTAAATACTGTGACAAAGCATTCCGCTACCCGAGCCAACTCAAGGACCACTTGGTGTCACACGAGGGCATGCGTCCTTTTATCTGCGCAGAGTGTGGCATGGACTTCATGAAGGTAGGTATACTTGGTAGTGATAAATAGTTGCTATAGATTATTATAAACCCAGTCAATAATCCAGTCTGCTAGCTAGCTAGATAAGGAAAGGAGTGGCCATTTTATTTACAAAATTGTCTCGGTAGTCTAGTTGTAATCCAATCCCACAACCTTTGCTTGAAATGGAGGTGACTGGATAATTGAAAGTTAATTATGTACAAAAATGTATAGTGTATAAAGAGATAAGGGGTAGAATTAGAATACACCAACCTAACATGGACAAGTATAAAACAGTACAGACTTATTTATCACTAGATCTGGTAACCGTAATTTTTAATACAATATGAAAATGTACTTTTCCTTTTTGAGAAATTGTTGAAGTACACAATGCTTATTCATACTGATAGTATAAAATACTAAATATTTGGTTCCTTTCCTACAAACTTTATGCAAAATGACATGTTTATCAATGAAAAGTTTAAGCCATGAAGTTTTGTCTGCTGAATTGAGTAATAAATCGGCTGATGTCACTTTCATGATATTTACTTGGTTGATGTAGGAGCACCATTTGAAGGCCCATCAGTTCACACACACTGGCCAGCGTCCTTTTGACTGTCCTAAGTGTGGGCGTACCTTCAACCAGCGGGCCAACATGATGCGTCACATGCTCATCCACAACCCCACTAGGGCGTTTCGCTGTGACGTGTGTGGCAAGACGTTTACACAACCCCAAACACTGAAGGCGCACAGAGTGGTCCACGCTGACATCAAACCTCACAAGTGTAAAATATGTGGTAGGTATTTATATACTGTGTAAAGTTAATCCCACTCAAAGTACGAGTTAATGATAAAACACAGTTACAATGCAAACACCGTCAATGCACACTCCCACAAAGCAGAAATAATACAAGTACCAGGTATGTGAAGTACACAGTAAAATAATGATGTGATATGCAGAAGTCTGATTTGATGCAAAGTTGTGAGCTTTCGATAACTTTTAAACCCAAGTGTCCTGATATATAGGCATGGGTTCGGCTCCCGGGGTCATGCCAACTTGTTGAACCTCTAAATATGACTGTACAGATGATGTTTAATTTGGAGCATTCCTTGGAAAAAGTATGGATTGTGTTCAATTTAGTGTTAAACGCTTACACATGATATAAGATACCGAACAGAGAAAGCCTGTAGAAAGTCGCCTCCAACATTCATATCACTTACAGTCTCACCAGTTGACATAACTTCTACTTTTGCGTGATGACAAAAACGCATTCATAAAACATCAAAATGATATCATCTCAAAGAATTTACTTTTCTTACCTTCTTAACCTGACAGGGATTGAGAGGATATTCGGTGTGTTATATAGGAAATATGGTACTGTAACAGTACAATGTACAGCTATCAGGGGAGGTAACTCTGTAGCTACTGTTACAATGACACAGAATTCATTAAGACCGTTATATTGCTGATGTAATCTTGTCTGGATGCTTTCTTTGATCTATTGTATGCGTTTTATATAATTCCATTTTGATATGTTCTGTACAGAATGGTAGAAGCTCATACCTGCCATTACTTACATGAAGCATTTAAAAATGAATGTAATTTAAGTCATGCTGAAGTTTTATTAAACAATATTAATTCTTATTTTAATAATAAACAATGAAGCATCAATGAAGCACCACCAATGTTTACCATTTTGGTTTGTTTGCGTTTTACGTCCAATTAACAGCTATGGTCGGGAGTTCCCAGAGGAAAACCACTGACCTACATAGGTCTCGAACCGGCGACCCAGTGGTGGAGGGCTAGTGGTAGCAGAATGTCAGATGCCTGAACCACTAGGCCACTACGGCCCCCCAAATATTTACCATTGTAGTGTATATACAGGTAGTTGACATTAATAGACTTCTCTTTGAAACATTTGACAACCTGTTTAAATTTGTTATTTTACCAGGCAAGCAGTTTGGCCGTCTACACAATCTGCAGGGACATATACACATGCACAATAACAGTAAACCCTACGTCTGTTTCTGTGGCAGCTCTTTTACTCTTAAAGGTAACGTTGTCTCACCATTCTTGTCAATTGTCAACATTTCACTTATTCTGTATACAATGAAAACTGTACAAGGGTAAAACTTTAAAGTTCTGTAAAACCATAATATGATAAGTCCTGTTATATTTGCCACCTAGTACTACATCACCAACATTATTTTCAACATACCTTTTCCAATATTTCTTAATAATTTTCTTTATATGAGTTCCTATATGTATTGCCAAACCCTTTTATTATGTCAAAATTTTCCTGAACAAATGTGGCAGTATAAGTTTACAGTTTACTGTATGTACTCTGGATCTAAGATTTGGTTGTTAGTTTTGAAAGTTTGCATTAATGTCTTATTTAGCTACTAAAGCGATGAACAGTTGTTTAATTTAGTTAATTTCTATTCTTTACTAATAACAATCATCTTAGGTTTTACCTGTAAATAATTTATCTGTCATCGTAGGTAACCTGAACCGTCATAAGAAGGTGAAGCATGGCCTCAGTGAGAGTACGGAGAGTCTTGAGGAGGAGGCTGTGAGTTTCCTCAGCAGTCTGTCAGGTCGTACTCAGGTCGATGAGGTTGATACCTTCCTTGACTACACTGACTTTGAACAGGATGTAGAACAGATTGCATCAACCTCTGACCTACGAACTCCACGTAAGGGTCGTAAGTCTGTCATTCCTCGTAAGATCCTGCGACGCAGGTCATCAGCCAATAGGAAAGAGAATGAGGAGACTGACCAGGAAGATGATGTGGAGGAAGACGACTACGAGGAGGAAGATGAGGATGGTGAGGGTCAGGGACACTATGCTGGAGAAACCGTCTCAGGTATTTTTGGTGATATCAAAAAGGAACAGGACCAACAATGTTCTACTGCAAATCAAAAGAGCGAAAATCAGCAAATATCTCTCCGTAAACGTAAATTACAGAACAGCAGTGCTAAGATGGAGGAAAATCGTGCGGAGTTGTCTAGTGAGATGAGTGAAGGACAGGACAATGAGGATGTTAGTGACACAGAGTGGAGGCCTGCCTCTAAACAGGGCCGGACAGGAAAGGGGGCGAAACTAGACTCAATCATCGCACAGAAGTTCAAAAACGTGTGATAGTATAGGCTCTGTATGTATGTGATAATTGTTAATGTTAGACTATGATCATGTTTAGTGTGCTTTCTAAACACTTAACAGTTGAGATCTCCAAAGTTTCCATATATTACTCAACATGTCAGCAAATATTGAATTATTTGATCGATCCCATTCTATAAACAGGTAGTGTCATTATGTAACTTATAGATTATCAGTCATAATGGTGCATCTTCTCCTTGATATACAGCCATGCTGAAAAGCTTGACCCATGGGAGATTATTGTCATTCCCGTTGGGTCAGCAGGACCCTTTGGGCTTTCTAATGGAACTCATCATTGTTAAAGACAATGCTATCTCTCAAAGTGATATTGAAAGACCATTTAAAACCATTCATGTGGAAAAAGTCCAGAAAGTATAGCTTGGTGTTAAAATATCTTTAAGATTTGTAAGTTATTCTATAATCTGATAGAATTGTATCTGTATGTCCTATATTATAGGTGAGTTTGATCAAAAGATTTGTTAATATGTAAAAATGATCTCTTGTTATGTTATCTCCGTTTAGAGATTTGGTTTCTCACACAAATAACTGAACACTCTTCTATCGCAAAAATAGATCTGGTGCTTTTCCCTGTCATTATGACGCCACAAGTACATTTTTGATTAGCTGATGAAGTTTATAAATAGTGTAGGAGATTTGTAAGTATCTAATAGCTATAGCTCTATCAGACTTGTAAGTATCTTATTGCTATAGCTATATTAGACTTGTAAGTATCTAATAGCTATAGCTCTCTATCAGACTTGTCAGTATCTAATAGCTATAGCTCTATCAGACTTGTAAGTATCTTATTGCTATAGCTATATTAGACTTGTAAGTATCTAATAGCTATAGCTCTCTATCAGACTTGTAATATCTAATAGCTATAGCTATAGATCTATCAGACTTGTAAGTATCTAATAGCTATAGCTCCCTATCAGACTTGTAAGTATCTAATAGCTATAGCTCTAGATCTATCAGATTTGTAAGTATCTAATAGATATAGCTCTCTATCAGATTTGTAAGTATCTATTAGCTATAGCTCTCTATCAGACTTGTAAGTATCTAATATCTATAGCTCTATATCAGATTTGTGAGTATCTAATAGCTATAGCTCTAGGTCTATCAGATTTGTAAGTATCTAATAGCGCTAGCTCTATCAGACTTGTAAGTATCTAATAGCTATAGCTATAGATATATCAGATTTGTAAGTCCCCCATAGCTATAGCTATATCAGATTTGTAAGTATCTAATAGCTATAGCTATGTCAGATTTGTAAGTATCTAATAGCTTTAGCTATATCAGATTTGTAAGTATCTAATAGCTATAGCTATATCAGATTTGTAAGTATCTAATAGCTATAGCTCTAGGTCTATCAGATTTGTAAGTGTCTAATAGCTATAGCTCTAGGTCTATCAGATTTGTAAGTGTCTAATAGCTATAGCTCTAGGTCTATCAGATTTGTAAGTGTCTAATAGCTATAGCTCTAGGTCTATCAGATTTGTAAGTGTCTAATAGCTATAGCTCTATATTAGACTTGTCAGTATCTAATAGTTCTAGATCTGTCAGACTTGTAAGTATCTAATAGCTTTAGATATATCAGATTTGTAAGTATCTAATAGCTATAGCTCTATATTAGACTTGTCAGTATCTAATAGTTCTAGATCTATCAGACTTGTAAGTATCTAATAGCTATAGCTCCCTATCAGACTTGTAAATATCGAATAGCTATAGCTATAGCTATATCAGATTTGTAAGTATCTAATAGCTATAGCTTTATATCAGATTTTTAAGTATCTAATAGCTATAGCTCTATATTAGACTTGTCAGTATCTAATAGCTATAGCTCTATCAGACTTGTAAGTATCGAATAGCTATAGCTATATCAGACTTGTAAGTATCTAATAGCTAAAGCTCTATCAGACTTGTAAATATCTAATAGCTATAGCTCTATCAGATTTGTAAGTATCTAATAGCTATAGCTCTATCAGACTTGTAAGTATCGAATAGCTATAGCTATATCAGACTTGTAAGTATCTAATAGCTAAAGCTCTATCAGACTTGTAAATATCTAATAGCTATAGCTCTATCAGATTTGTAAGTATCTAATAGCTATAGCTCTATCAGATTTGTAAGTATCTAATAGCTATAGTTCTATCAGACTTGTAAGTATCTAATAGCTATAGCTATATCAGACTTGTAAGTATCTAATAGCTATAGCTCTAGCTCTATCAGATTTGTAAGTATCTAATAGCTATATCTCTATCAGACTTGTAAGTATCTAATAGCTATAGCTCTATCAGACTTGTAAGTATCTAATAGCTATAGCTCTATCAGATTTGTAAGTATCTAATAGCTATAGCTATATCAGACTTGTAAGTATCGAATAGCTATAGCTCTACATCTATCAGACTTGTAAGTATCTAATAGCTATAGCTATAGATCTATCAGATTTGTAAGTATCTAATAGCTATAGCTCTATCAGATTTGTAAGTATCTAATAGCTATAGATCTATCAGATTTGTAAGTATCTAATAGCTATAGTTCTATCAGACTTGTAAGTATCTAATAGCTATAGCTATATCAGACTTGTAAGTATCTAATAGCTATAGCTCTAGATCTATCAGATTTGTAAGTATCTAATAGCTATAGCTATATCAGACTTGTAAGTATCGAATAGCTATAGCTCTACATCTATCAGACTTGTAAGTATCTAATAGCTATAGCTATAGATCTATCAGATTTGTAAGTATCTAATAGCTATAGCTCTATAAGACTTGTAAGTATCTAATAGCTATAGCTCTATCAGACTTGTAAGTATCTAATAGCTATACCTATAGATCTATCAGATTTGTAAGTATCTAATAGCTATAGCTCTATAAGACTTGTAAGTATCTAATAGCTATAGCTATATCAGACTTGTAAGTATCGAATAGCTCTAGATCTATCAGATTTGTAAGTATCTAATAGCTATAGCTATATCAGACTTGTAAGTATCGAAATCAGATTTATAAGTATCTAATAGCTATAGCTCTCTATCAGACTTGTAAGTATCTAATAGCTATAGCTCTCTATCAGATTTGTATTGCACTCTGGTGAATTACTACTGCTTTCTACTGACTCAGCTAGGGAGAAGTTCTCTTTAGATCATTTGGTAGAGCTTCAGACTATAGTAAATCAACGGTCTAGAGTTTCATCCCTTTGATCCCTAGCGGAGGCTTTGAAAAATGAATTGCCCCTTTTTTAATTCTGGAAAAATACTAGCAGCTTCCTACTGACTCAGCCAGGGAGAAATTCCCTTTAGCTCATTTGGTAGAGCTTCAGACTACCAGTAGTAAAACAAGAGGTTCTGGGTTTGAGCCCTAGTGGAGACATTGAAAAAATACTGCCCTCAGTGTTACGTGTATAGACCTAGTAACTAGCTGTCTGATGAAGTCTGTGATAGAACACACTCGTGCTTTATGCAGAGTGTTATATACTTTAGATTATTAATACATGTAGTGTTATATATATATATCACTTAATGGCTTCCAAATCTCCAAAAGTTTGAGTCTAAACGGAGTGCAAACTCAACTGAATGAGGTAATCATGAGTAACCAAATAGAACTCTAATTTATTGGTGATGTGGAGGCCACAGTTGGAATCTCCTACAACTAAGTTTTACCAGATACATGTACAAGGTTTATAATTTAACAAATTTGTTCAGGATGAAATTTTAGCATTTTTATTTCAAATTTTTGTCATTAGTGGTATTGTCATGAACAGGAAGGCAGTGGAATTCAGGTGAGCATTTATCTGCCTGTAAATGTTGAAGTGTACATGTATACTGTTTTATGTTGATGATATAGTATTTTAAAATGTCCCTGTGACAATCTAGTCCCATTCCAAGTGATGACTGTTTTTGTATAGTTGTTCCAGGTCTGTACCGTACAATTCTGTATTTACGTTATTGTGTAGATGTTTACACTAACTTGTTATGAATATATATTGTTTTTTTCACACTGTGTGTGTTATTCCAGGGCACAATATCCTGTAGTTTAATCCTGATCACTCACGAGGTTTCTATACTACAATCATACCAATTGTACTTGTATATTGAATTTGTCATAAAATCTACAGACTAGACATTTGTAGTGTTACTTTTTTTTTTTATCTCAGTTGTTTATCTTATCTGAAGATAAAACATGACTTTTGTTTATGATAAAGTTCTCACCTAAAGGTCCTAACTGTGTCATACAACCAAAGAATGAAAATGGAATGGTTTGTTATGGAATTATGGAAAAAGAATGTCCTATTCCCAGAGTAAGGAAACAGAATGTCCTATTCCCAGAGTAAGGAAACAGAATGTCCTATTCCCAGAGTAGGGAAACAGAATGTCCTATTCCCAGAGTAAGGAAACAGAATGTCCTATTCCCAGAGTAAGGAAACAGAATGTCCTATTCCCAGAGTAGGGAAACAGAATGTCCTATTCCCAGAGTAGGGAAACAGAATGTCCTATTCCCAGAGTAAGGAAACAGAATGTCCTATTCCCAGAGTAAGGAAACAGAATGTCCTATTCCCAGAGTAAGGAAACAGAATGTCCTATTCCCAGAGTAGGGAAACAGAATGTCCTATTCCCAGAGTAGGGAAACAGAATGTCCTATTCCCAGAGTAGGGAAACAGAATGTCCTATTCCCAGAGTAAGGAAACAGAATGTCCTATTCCCAGAGTAAGGAAACAGAATGTCCTATTCCCAGAGTAAGGAAACAGAATGTCCTATTCCCAGAGTAGGGAAACAGAATGTCCTATTCCCAGAGTAGGGAAACAGAATGTCCTATTCCCAGAGTAGGGAAACAGAATGTCCTATTCCCAGAGTAAGGAAACAGAATGTCCTATTCCCAGAGTAAGGAAACAGAATGTCCTATTCCCAGAGTAAGGAAACAGAATGTCCTATTCCCAGAGTAGGGAAACAGAATGTCCTATTCCCAGAGTAGGGAAACAGAATGTCCTATTCCCAGAGTAGGGAAACAGAATGTCCTATTCCCAGAGTAGGGAAACAGAATGTCCTATTCCCAGAGTAGGGAAACAGAATGTCCTATTCCCAGAGTAGGGAAACAGAATGTCCTATTCCCAGAGTAGGGAAACAGAATGTCCTATTCCCAGAGTAGGGAAACAGAATGTCCTATTCCCAGAGTAGGGAAACAGAATGTCCTATTCCCAGAGTAAGGAAACAGAATGTCCTATTCCCAGAGTAAGGAAACAGAATGTCCTATTCCCAGAGTAGGGAAACAGAATGTCCTATTACAGATATGGACATAGTTAGGGTATGTTCTATGTTGTACAACTAAAGTATGGAGAGGGTCAATGTAAGTCGTACAACTGAATAAAGGACATGGGTATAGTTCATGTTTTACAACCAAAATATAGAAAATTAATGTTTGTCATACAACCAAAGTTTGGAAATAATTAATATACACTGTATGAAGAACAACTTCTCTTTAGTGTATAGACATAGTTGACTTATGTTGTCCAACCAAAGTATGAAGATAACTAATGCTACATTAATATATGCTGTTGGGGTTAAATAAACCTTCACTTATATAGGTGGGTACACTTTGGTATTATACATGTGTTTCACCGCTCCAAGCTTATTCAACAGCAGTGAGATTCCACAACAACAAGTACGGTGAACAAGTCCTGCACCTCTGGACAAGCTTGGAGATGAAAATTACAAAGGGCCATAACTCTGTATACAGTCAGCTCGCATACATAATTGTAGGTGACAAGAGTTAGTGGTGTATCAGATATGCCCCAAGTTATCCAGGGATAGACATTGTGTCAACCGTTAAATTTCTCCACTAGTATCCTTTATTTCTCTGCTAGTACTGGTTGGAAACTTTTTAACACCACAACTAGAAAAATTCGATATAATAATACACTTGATGACTTGATACGGGTCTAATGATGTGGCAATGGTTAAGTAACTTTAGACACGGTCCATTTTGAGTTGCGGGCCTTAGTTCATGCATTCCCCACAAAAGATAAGGAGTCCGGAGTGTGTACGAAGATAAAATTTTATTATCAACCACCTTTACACTGTAAAGCTGCTGACTTGGCTGTACATTGTTAGTTTGATACAACTTTGATAAACATGTAAGGGAAAAAGAGGGGCATGAATTTGACATGA